CATGATTTCTTTCCTTTCTACCAGCTCTATCTACAACTATTCTGCTTCTTTCCTACAATTAGTTTCCTAAATTTTAGAACTATCTCACTAGAGATTTACATGATGGAAAACTCATCATCCACACCATCTAATTCTCCCTTAAGACTATGTTGTTGGATGATCAAAACAGAGGTTGTATGTGAGGAATCAGACCCTGAAAGAACATCCCCTACTGGGCCTAATTCCGGACACTGCTGCCAATCATTCATCCCTATAGTCAATATCGAGTTCACCCTCCCACCTCGCCCTACTATTATTAGCCCATACTGTCCTTCCAATGATCTCAGAGTAGCATAGGTCTCGGCTGAATTGGCAACATGCTTCTCGCTATAGGAAACATGCCCCCCAGCGATGTGTCTCTCATAGAATTGAGCAAAACTCTCATCGTCAAGCTTCATCTCTTGTTCCTGCACAGCAGCATTTATCCTACAATTGCCAGCTCTTCTCGAGGCAGTCACCGAATCACTATCAAGTAGGAATCTTATCACCGTAAGTTTTACTCCAGGATGTCGTGCAACACGACCTGCATAAGCTAGTGCTTCTCTGTCATCTTTGCCACCAAAGAAGATGACTGCTACTTGGAAAGAGCTTACTGACTTTGATATTTTCTCTACCAGCCCATAACCTCTGTCCACAAGAATCCCCACTGAACATGGTGCATTCCGGAGCACCTAATTGAAACCAAAACCTAGTTAAGCCAAATATTGGCATTATGGTTGATAATTTTTCACAGACAACTTGCACGAATGCAGAAAATAGATAAGTGATGCATGATTTATGATGCTAAATCGTGAGTCAGTTCCTGGATGCAGATGAAAGACAAATTCTTGGTTATTTATAATTAGAAATAAAACAAAAAAAAAATCAAAACGTCTGCACCTTTTTTTTTTTTATTAAAGGTTATTGATTGGTGGTAATTACCTTACGGTTCACATATCGGAACCCAGGATTACCCCCATCTAACGTCCCATTTGCATGCCGGTTCTTGTGAAATGGCAATATGACGAGGGAGATCATCAAGTCCTCTGCTAAATTGCAGATATCTTTGGCCATGCCATTGAATGTTGAGAGAGCAAGCATTCGTCTGAGTGTTATACCATTGCCATTTTCCTCTACATAAGCTTGGACTGCAGTAGAGATCTGATCTCTCATCTCGGTCACATCCTTGTCCATCACGGTCACAGTGTCCATTCCTTCTTGAACCAGTGTAGAAGCTATTTGATCTGTGAGTTCAACCATGTCGGTAAGATAAACCAGAATTCCTGGATCTGACGCCCCTTGAGAAATTTCCATGAAGTTGATGGTTGAAAGCACGTTATGCACTCCTTGAATACATAGCAGGATCCGAAGCTCATTAGAGGGGTCGAGCCACTCAAGAGCCACTCGTTGCGTAGGTGCACGTTTCCTTGCACGTTTTATGATTTGTGACACAACTAATGGGGTGGGTAGAACCGAAAGGAAGATCACAATAATGATTGAAATGCTAGTCGTAGTAGTTGTTATGTTTAACTGCAATCAATTTAACAAAATGAATACAATATTAGAAACGAGTTAACATAACTTTCCATTGCTAAATTGCATTGAATGCATGAATGCAGGATAAGTTCAATAACGCTGCAACTGACATGAACTCAGCAAAACCATTGCTTTCCAAATCTTGGTATTGCTAAACTTAAATTTTTTGCAGTATTATTCAGATTGAAAGTTTTTGGCCTCAAAGCACAGCTGCAGAGAGGAAAATCAATGGACTTCATGTTGTGGGGCATGTAAACTACTACTTTTTGGTTGCTTTTTGTCACCTAAAATCCTCATCGATGCTTTTATAAAAAACGAAGGCCTTTCATGACATTTTTAACTGTCAATTATCTACTTGGAAATCAGTAATCAACATATTTCAAACTTAAGTGTCATGGTTAGTAACCAGTCATCTACTTCGTTTGAAAAAGCAAAAACTGAAGAAGAAAGTAACATAATCGATATAGTGAGAAGCAGGGAACCTACCAGGAGTCCAACAACTGCAAGAAATACATGAAAGTGGCCTTTTGCAGTTAAAAGGAGACCGAGTTCAGCAGATTCACGCTGATGAAAACCTAACATCACCCCGCATATGACTGTTCCAATCACTTTGCCAAATACTGTGATGAATACGAGGACCAAAAACCTTCCCCATGTTCCCCAATGGCTAGCTTCAAATTTACTGAAATCAGCATGAAACCCCATCCAAAAGAAGAACACTGGGTAGAAAATGGTAGGTAATAGGTAGTTGATTTTGCCAACTGCCCATTTTGATACTCTCCCCTCACTCGGTAAGAAAACTCCAGCCAAGAATGCGCTGAGAATGGGACTGTATCCATAAATCGGGGCGACACTGCAAACAAAAGCCATGAAGGCAACGGAAAGCACCAAATGGGAACCTTTCATGGGTTTCCCTTCAGGGTTTTCGTTGTTCACCCAGTTCATAAAGATGGGTGAAACTGTGGCCGTGAAAATTATTTGGAGCAGCAAAGCAGCAGCCATAGTTAAGGTCATTCTAATGTTTGCGGCAAAGTCGCTAATGGTGATAGCGGTTGGGAAACAAAGATATCCGATGGAGACGAGAAGCATGGATATCATGTCAGAGTGCATTCCTGCTGCAATTACAAGTTTTCCTATATCTGACTTGCCTATTTTGAGACTGGTTATAAGGCGAGTTAGTATATGGGAGGAACTGCCGGAGAGAGTGGTGGAGAGGGAAAGAGTGAAACCAATGGTAGGGTGCTGATAATAGTGCAGCAACGGGGTTATGCTACAAACTAAAATGATTGTGGGCACCATTCCAGCATAGGCTACCATAGCATTTCTTGATGGTGCTTTAAAGATTACATATGGATCCATTTCCATTCCCAGCACAAACATGTAACATATCATACCAAATTCAGCAATAGAATTTAAGATGTCGATAAATTGTTCATCGAAAGCATGGCGTATCAAACTTATGTTGCCAAGCACCAGGCCCACCTGCGGCCAATAAAGATTACACACAAGAAATATTCTCAATAACAAAATCAAGCTTCTTAATTGGAAATAGCTGTCAAGTATTTATTGAACGGAAGAAAGAGAGGGTAGGAGAGAAACCTACAGCAATATCAGAAGCTATGCGTGGCTGGGATAGAGGCTTTAGAAGCTGGTGTGAGAGGTTGCTGAAAACAAATGCCAAGCCGATGGAAATCACCTTTCCTGCTGCATTTTTTACCGTATACGAAATGAAATCAGGGCAAGCTGGAGCTGAGCCATTAACTGCGTGAACGCTTTCCATTCCCTACGTCTTTGCTTCTCTCTCTCTGTCTCTCTCTCTTTCTTTATTATCCCCCCTCCTCCTGAATTGCAGAGGGCTGTCTGCAAACGAAACCTTTCTATTTTTCATGGAGAGCACCATTTTTTTTCGTCTATTGGTTGTTGTGAGTTGAGTGGCTATAATTGATTGCTTGCTATGAGGAGAAAACGGGGGAGTAACTTCAGGAAATTAAGCCATCTAAGTGGGGTGATGTTCTGGAGTAAATCAAATCACATGTCGAACTCTAAATCAGCATGTTATCAATCATGAATTAAAAAATAAGTCCAGTGATCCAATAAGTATTATGGCAAATGCCTCGAGACAAAGTCATTAATTTATTGGCTGATAAAATATTAGAAAATTATTATCATTAAATGGACTAATCACACATGTAAATTTTCTAGGACAGCAAAATAAACAGAAAAATAAGAAGAGAAACTTCACATTTTCATTTACTTTTTGGTATGGTCGATTTCCATTACATCCTAGAAATAGAACATAACAATCGGCCTAATGAAGCTCAACATGGTTTGCAGGTGAAGGACTTCGACAAAATCAGCTAATTCATTGAAACAGAATAATTAGTACAAGAAGAGATGCCACGGAGCCTATGACATAACAGAGGAGAAGTAAGAAATAAACAAGATACATGACAGGTTGAGGCCTTAAGAATATCTCAATGTCTTTTGTCTCTGTGTAACAATCAATCAGATATAATTTACCATGTAATAGTTATTACGTGATTCCTTTTTACAAACAACCGATCAACTTTTCTTGCAGGTAAGTCTTGGCATGCTTCGCTTGGAGAATAAATAAAGCATTGCCTGATGCTTTCCTTTCTCTCCCATTATCCAAAATCTTGGACGTTTGCTATTCGTTTATTCAGTCAAGACATATCAGTTACTATTTAATTTATAACTTAATTTTGCAACTGTGACATTTTCTCTTTCCTTCTGCTTAATGGCAACTTTTCAGAACAACAGAGATAACCAGACCAGCCACCAATGGTCTGGAATGTCATGTCATCGACTTTTGGATCCATTAATAGTCAAACTTCATGCTAAAAAGTGATCTATAGATTTTATTCTCCAGTTCACTACATCCCTTCTGCCTTCTAAGACTTGGCTGTAATCGAATTAAATTTGGATTCAAGTAATATCAGAGGAAAGTGACGGTTCATAGACACAACAACGACATGGTTTTTACGGTAAGCCGATACTTTGGTTAACAGACAGAATTTGTGTAGTAAAGATGGATTGGAACCTATCAGATGTTGCTACCTTGCTTCTACCAAAAGATGTTCCTAATGTTCACGTTTTCACACGCGTGCAAAACCTTGCAGCATAAAAAGCAACCAGACGCGCACAGAAGAATAAAGTTTTTCGGTGCACGATTTGCTGCCCCATATATGACAGGCAGGAAATTGATGAAAAACATCAACATGAGAAAACTGCAGTAGAGTCGATCATGGAATGGTTGGTGTGGGGGGAGAACACAATCCACTTGAAGATGGTTGGTTAGATGCATGGAAAAGGGTCGAGAGGATTGCCAAACATAAATACTATAGGTCATCAAACTAACACAGACCCGTGCGCACCATTTTGATCCATTTTTCAATTTCTAAGATAATCATAGAGCAGTAAAAAGATAAAAGAAGAAACCATTCTTCCCTTTTATTTTTCTGACAGTCGACTTGTATTCACACAATTATAAGCAATAAACAACCTTTTAAAGAAATGTCATAGGAAAAGGAGCGAGTTCCTCTGGCACTGTTGCAACTTTCACAATTAAAAGCAAGAAACAACCTTAGAAGCGTGCACGCTTCTATCTGATTGAGTTGTTTCTGGATGCTGAATCTTGGCTAGAAGAGCTCTGTCAGATCACATTTTTAGCCATTTTGGCTTGACGGGTTTTCTCCCAGCAGCCTTGGGCTCTTGTGGTACTGGAGGAGGAGCTGTCCTTGCAGGTTCCAGTGCAGTCTGGACCGGCTCTGCTGGCTCAGGCACAACATCCAAACCTTTCAAAGACATAACCTCTTCCTGGAGGAAGGGACCAGAACTGAAAGATGCATTATCCTCTCCATTTGGCTTATCGTATGAAAAATACACGATTGCACCAGGAATCAGACCGGCCGAGTAAAAATCCTGTGACAAGTCTTTGATTTCCTTCTTTGGAGGAGTAGTATACAAGTAAAAGGGTACTTCTGGCTGAGCAAGCACTCTTGAGAGAAGATCAAATAAGCTCTGAATCTTTTCAGATGGATAAAAAACCACCTCCAATGTATGATTATCAGGAAAACGAATCCTAATTGCAGTTTTTGTTATTCTTGACCTGCGAGCAGCTTCTTCTGCTTCTCGAATCTTTTTCGTCTTTAAATATTTATCTTCCCTCTTTGTCGGCAGAAGTCGATAATAATCCTCTGTAGTGAAATCATAAAAATCATCTGTATCCTCATCATTAGACGCTTGAGGCAACAACGAAGAGACTAGCGATGTTTCAAACACATGGAGGTCATGCCCGAACTTCTCTTTAACAGCTGCAAACTTGGCCTTAGCAGCTTCAGCTTCCATGACATCAACTGTGGTAAGTCTCCTTCTCTTTAGATGCAAAGGGGAAGAACAATCCACGATCATCAGTGCATTCAGGGAACCCAGTACAGAGAGAGAGTTGATGACCAATATAGACCCACTGTTACTTTAAACTCCTGTTGGCCAAAAAAAGGATTAAAAAAGATGAAACCATTTTCTTTCGCGGACTTGATTCAGTAAGAGAACTAATACAGTACAGAATTAACAAAATTTGACGCGTATATGGAAAATCAGAACCTTTTACGATGAAATTTCAAGCAAGCAACAACAAAACAAAACAGGACAACGTTAGAGCATTACAAGAACAATGAAGCTTAACAGAAAGCATATGCAAACATGCCAGAAAGTATAATCCCTAAAATCCTAATCTCAAGAATTGAAAGCCAGATCAAGAATTTAAATATTGGAATCTCGAATCAAACCACAGTTTGAGGCCCTAACAGTAATCGTTAACAGAAATACATGATCAATTAACCTACAAGTAGACGATTATCCATTTCGAGATCGATTTAGGAGTGAGATCAATTTACCAGTTGAAACCAGATTTCGACTCTGCTGCTTGGAGAAGAGAGAGAAGTGCTTCTTCTTTTTGCGTGTCAGGAGAAAGAAGCTTGCAAGGACGAGATGCGGAATGGATAGCTGGATTCCTTCCAGCTGGTAAAATCTCCGAATTAGACCGAGAGTGTAATGAATGTCTGGGGAGGATAACCGGCTTTCCAAGTTTCCTTTTCCTTTTCGCGTAAAAAAAATAGTGTTTTTCTTTTACAAAACCAATTTGAAAAAAATAATTGAGGATTTGAGTTCAATTGTCCCTAAAATCAATATAAAGAATAGATTATTGTTACCGAACAAGTATCCTTGGCGATATTTTTATTTAACCATGTTAGAATATACAAATGCATTTTCTATCACATAAAAAATAAATATAAATCAAACAAAAAATTATCAAAATGAAAGAGAAAAACACTTTAACCTCAAAACTAGCACCCCTACAAGTCAATCACTTCCCTTTTTTTATTTTAAAAAAGGATAAAATTTATGATCCTCAAAATACAACTACTTGTTTTTTTAATTAAAAATAAGTATAAAAATTTAAGAGAAATATGAGAGAGAACTTAAAAATAATTTAAAAATAAAAATATTATTATTATTATTATATCTATTTATTCATTGAGTAAATATTGGTAGATACTACAACTTGAGCTTGTAATTTTTTTCTACAACAACGTAGTTGGTAAATTAATTGGACATACAAATCAGATTAAAAAATTATATTTATATGCGAATATCATCTCATTATTAGCAAAAAGCCGTTTTAGGGATTGAACATCCAGTTATTTTATTATTTATATAAAAAATAATTTATATTATATAATAAAAATGAAGAGTCTATGTTCCTACAATAACATGTGGCATTCTTTATATGAAGGTTTTTAAGTTTATCTTATATATGGCATTTCGATAATAGTTGTTCTCTTAAAAAAAAAAAAAAACTTTCTCATGACAAGGGAGAAAAAATGATAAGTCCAATATTTTATAAGAAAAATAAGATAATCTTTTAATTATTTTTATTTGTTAACGTCTCTTAATCATACTAATTATGAACGCATTCTAGACATAGAACAATGAGAATCAACATTTAAAGTGGATTTTATAATTAATACATTTAAAAGAAAATAAAAAAATATAATTTAAAGTAAGATAAAAATTTTAATATTTTTTTTAATACAGCCACAATACGAAGACCAGCAAAATCTAAACAGCCTGGCCCAGAGGCCCGGACAAACAAAAAAAAAATGATTATAATAACAGAAGAAGGAAGAAGAACAGCTGTCGTTCTGGCTGGGGTGAAAAGAAAGAAAGAGAAGAGACAGGTGTAGAAACTGGAGTGGAGCTAGGAGTTCTATAATTTACAATGTGTTTCCAAACACACCATTCATTCAATTTCCGGATTAGATTGGTCGAGAGGAGGAACATATATATGTATATATATTTTTGTCACGCATACAACCCATATCGCTCATGCTAGTATCACGAGGAGCGCGCCTGATCTTTCGTTCTACAAGCTATAGTATGGGTGCACGAATTGTACACGCGCTCGTTACAGGGATAAAAATAACATATTAAAATAATATTTTTTTAATTTTTAATATTAATATATAAAAAAATAAAAATAAAAAATTCAAAAATACAGTTAACTTGTAATCATAACCAGAATATATATACTCTTTAAATTGAAGCGGAAGATTCAACTTGATCAAATTATTTTTAGAGGGTTATATTGAAGGAAATGCTAACGGTATAGTGATATAAAATGGGGACTTGCTGCATTCCCTAGCGACGAGTCAATAACAGATAATCCGAACGATGCCCCGGTCTCAAGGGAAATTATAATTACAAATTATAAAAGAAACCGAAAGAGCTAGGGTTCTTGAACAGTGGCAATCAATGTTTCCCATGCTCAAATTATTGTTCATTTTTGCGGTGCCTTTTTATTTTCTAATTATGTAACTTTATTTCTTTCAATTTCATCAAATTAGGCTACATTAATATTGTTTTGTGTGTTGAGATTTTGTTTTATCTTCTATTATGTCATTTATGCAAAGTGCCAGGAATAATTTTAAATTAAATTGAAAATCAACATTATAAAACATAATTAAACAAAACTGACAAAAATTAAATTAATAAAGATTAAATTTAACACAAAAAACAAAACCTGTTTTTTATTGTTCAAAATGCGCTGAAAAAATTAAAATGGTCCTTGAAGTTTCAATTCATATACTATCTTGTTTCTTTTTTATTTTAGCTTTTTATATTTGCAATCCAACCTTTATTTTTTTACATTTCAAACCTTAATATCTAGAAGATAAAAGGAAAGAACAGTCAATAAATTTGAGAAGAAGAGCACACAAGACTAGTGTGTGTGTGTGTAACGATTTAATTTACTTAAAAGAAGTTAAATGAAAGTGGTTTTGTTATTTAAATATGCTATGAAAAATAGATTAAAATTTATAAATTTTGTTTTGACTCTATTTAATTTATAATTTTTAAATTAATTGAATGATATTTTAAATAAAAAAAATAATTTTAAATAAGTTTTATTGGGCATTAGACAAGTTGAAATTTAAGTTTTTTAAATTTTAATACTCAAGCCCCAACCTTTTCAGCTGCTATAGATGGATTAGATTTGCATTAGAAAATAACAAGTTGCTCGTTATATTAAAAAAAAAACTGGACAAATGACATTAAAAAAAAAGTTCAAGCACGTAAGCCTTGTTTTAGAGACCGCGTGCACAAAGACTGTTTTTTTCTGGCCACTGCGTGGGACCCATTCTTCAAAGCGAAGGCATGCTCGATCTGTTTGTCAAATAAACCTCTCACGTTGTTTTATTTCTAATTAAATCTATTACAATAATATCTAAACAATTAAAACAATTTCAAAAACATTGTAGTTTTTTTATATCACTATTAGTAATTATTTTATGAATAATTATATATTAACTTAATATATAGATTTTCTTTTTAAAAGACTGCTTATTGAAATCCAATAAGAGTAGAATATCTATTCTGTTTTTATTAATTTTGATTTTTTTGTATAGTCTTTTTATATTTATTACTCTTAGATTTATTTATATAGATTCATAAAAATAATTGATTCTTAATTATTTTTATTTTATTATGCCAAAATCTTTTTTCATGTAAATAATAATTTTTTATTTAAAAATGTTTATAATAAAAAACATGTTTTTGTCAAAAAGAAAAGAAAAGAAATTACATGAATAAGAAAATTTTTTTATTATAAAGATACACTTACCTCGTTATAATTCTTACCAATATTTTTAGTTGTCATTAATTTTTCTTCAATAAACCATATTGCTAATAAGAAAAACTTGTTATTGATAAAATCAATAAATAAAAATTATATGCATGAAAGAAGATAATTTTGACTAAAACAACTTATACTTCTTAAAAATTTTAATCTTTTTTTAATATATATTTTAATTTTTATTTAATTTAAAAAATATTTTAAAATATCACATGGGATTGTGCGAGCATTGTATTAATTAAAATTAACCAGTCCTCTCTCTCCTCTGCTAATCCCACTCCCTCTCCCTCTCCATCTAGAATCTTCTTCGATCGTTACAAAGCAAACTGCATACATTTATCTCTCTCTCCTGCACACAAACACAAAAGCAGCTCCAGATCTCATCAAAGCAAGTCAAACTACAGGTAATTTGTTCATTTCCAACTTTCATGGCCTCTGTTTTTTCTTTCAAGTGGCGAAGTCAACTCACCTGACATTAACATTTTACGTTGTTTTTATCTTTCATTAACCTATTATTGATTGATTATACGAATCGAACAAATTTGTTAATTTGTGCTTTTTTCGCAGGACTTGCTTGTTCTAGTAATGGAGGAGATTCCAAGCCAATCGATTGGTAATTTATTATTTTTCTTCTTCTTTTTAATCGAAACTGGATAGCGAATGGAATGCTATATTGTTTTTTCTTGATCAAGTGAATGACGTAAGAGAACAAATAGCGATTTTTTTTATTTGTGTTTTTTTGCTCTATTTTCTACGGAGTGTTTAAAGTAATGAAGTAAAACCTATTGTTCCACGTTTTGTCGTGTTTGATTCTGATGATTTCTCAATATCTAAAATCCAATATATATAAATAATAAGTTTTTTAGTGTTTAAGATAGTGGTTAATTAGTATGTAAATGTTTATTTTTGAGTTTTAAGATGATTAATGCTCTAGAATCTATTTTAAGAGATAATTTTTTTTGAATCTTTTCTTGGATGATTCAAGAAGTTTTTATATTCTTGAATCTTGTCGTTTTTAGAGAAGAAAAGGACTAGAAAATCCTTTATTTTCTATGACATTAATGAAGGACAAATATCTTTTATATATCATTAATGAGATGGTAAATATGATAGGTTTCTTAAAAGATCTCATATACACCTATGAATATAGAGGAATCATTATATTATATATGAATGGTTCGTGTAATTATTCTAGATAGAGAGACATGGCGGTTTATCATGCCTTCAATACTTTAAATTGA